ATGTGTTTCTCTTTTTTGGTTGCTGAGTAATATTCCATTGTATATATGTACCACATCTTTCTAATCCAGTCATCTACTTTTGGGCATCTGGGCTGCTTCCATGTTTTTCCAATTGTAAATAGATGTGTTTATTTTATAAGTGGAAGTTTGTACGCTTTGACCTTCTTCATTCATTTTGCCCACTGCCAGCCTTACCTTCAAACACCAATCTGTTCTCTGTACTGTATGATCAATCTGTTTCTAAAAAAGCGAAAGCCGACTCTAAGAAAAAACAGCTATTTGATAATCATTCTGTACTTGCAAGAGGCCAGTGGCCTAAGAATTCAAACCTGAATGGCTCATAAGGGAACTAAACTAAAATAAAGAACAAATGGGAGGGAAGATCCTAAACAAATGGGAAAGGACCAAGCGGTCATGAAACCAAAATAACCTTTCCTGAATCATTAGTATAAAACATCTAGATAGGTTAGTTTATGGATTAAGGATTGTTTTGCTTGATGACCCTCCCTGGTGGTGCAACGGGTTAAAGCACTGCACTATGAAGCTATCTACAGCCACTGCAGCACCAGTTTGATCCCTGTCCCAGAGGTGATCCACATGGTGTGGCAGACCTCTCCTGGCCCGCCCACTGCTCCCCTCAGCAGTGTATTTTGTCAATCTTCTTGTTCTGCTTCCCACTCTGTCTCTCACCCCCCCACACACCTGGCCTGCACCCCAATTCTTGTATGCATAAATAAATGAATAAATAAAATAATTATTTTGCTTGAACTGAAGTGATTACACATGTTTTTCTTTGGAACCTACTCATTTTGGCCATTAAAAATTTCTCTTAACTCTTTTCCATCCAATGTTTATTCCTTCATCATCGCTGTCATCCTTTCTTTTCCACAGCCTAAATCACAGTGGCTGTGTGGCAAATACCCACAGGTGATCACAGTGCCAGGCTGAGGGCTGAGTGGGTGAATAAATGACAACACCAACTCTTCAGAGACAGAGGGGAACAAATGATAAGGGCCAGTGTAAAGAGCTGCCTTGGTGACTGTGGTTAGCCTGCTTGTTGCTAAGGAAAAGAACCGAGAGACAGAAGAGAATGAAGGCAAAGAGGAGGGTAAAAATAGAAAGAACAGTTCCTTTGCGGACCTCACATTTTACCCTGTTGGACAACAATCATCAGCTTCTGATAAATCTGACAGGATACATAAATGTGATCAACCTAACATAACTTTTCAACAGATTGATTTTGAGATTCTGCCACCATCCAAAGAGGTGTATGCTGTGAGAGTCTAGGTACAAAGGTTGGCTGTTTGACAGGTAATTAGGGGCTCTAGGCATCTTTGATATTATACTCTTAAAACAGTAGCCTCTTCCTTGCTGTATAAAAAAGACATGGCCTGTGAAATGAAAATAGTGGTTGAGATAAAAATGCGATTCCAAAGAGAGTCCATCCCAAATCCTCCATGCTGGCATTTTGTGATTCTGTCTCTATTTTTTTTTTTTTTAAATCACAAGGGTATTCTCACTCTACATACTACTTTGGAAAGCTTCCTCTTCTCCATTTATCAGTGTTTGTTTGGTTATTCATTTGCACCCAGAAGTGCCAGGACTGGCACCAAACTCTGGACGGACATATATCAAACCCAATACCCTCAAAGCACACTGTGCAAAGTGAAAAGTACTCTAGAGGAAGTACTCTGTCTCAGGTGGGAGAGACATAATGGAAAGGACACTAACTTGACCAGGGAATGAGAGAGAGGGCTTTGTGGACTGCAGAACTGAGCCTGGGGCTTATAGAGAACTGCGTCATTTTCCATGTGTATAAGCTTCCTGGGGGACACTCCAAGTAGGAAGAACGTCACATGAAATATCAAGAAGTGTGTGAGAAAACTGCGTATTGGCCAAACACAAAGTTTTGGGTTTCCAAAGAGTAATCCAGTGAGAGAGGGCAGTGAGGAATGAGGGCTGAACCAAATCAGTGGCAGGAAGGGGCAATGATGACTATTATTTACTATGAACAATAAAAGAAATATAAGGAGGAAATAAAGTAGTTTTCAGGGTTTCAACTATGGTGGTGCTGGTTGTAGCTGCTGACATGACAAGGAAGAGGCTTGGAAATGCTTGTGTGATGAGTTCAGATTCAGAAAATCAGAATGTGGGAGGGCCTATGGTACACAGGATGGCTGCAAAGCCCTCCAGTGTGCATGTCTGCAGCTCAAGAGATTCCGCCACTACAAGCTCAGCTAAGGAAAGTAGACAGTGAGAGATGTCAGTGGAAAATGAAGTTCTGGAAAACAATATTTAGGTAGGAGCATTAAAAAAAAAGAGCTTAAAAAGGAAATGTGAGATAAATGTCTGCAAATTTGGTATTGTAAACATACAAAGGGAAAGGATAAATTTATCATGGTTGAATCAAGTAATACTTTGAAAGTCAGTTGTAAATGACTTTGGGCTATCCATTTTTTTTTTTAATTCTCTAAATAGAACTGGGTTAGAAGAACCTACCCATTCTTTTAGACTGTTCCAGTCTTATTACTGCCTAATCTTTATATAGTAGCATTTACATTATCATGATGAGTGGACTTCGTAGCTCAAACATTCTAGAAGAAGAATCAGGGAAGTAGGGCCTGTACAAAAACACCTGCGTAGGTTTCTACAAAGAGTTATGTGACGCTGGCTATCTACATGAGGTCTCAAGATTCCTCCAGCCTACTATGATACTTGAATGTACACATATTCTTCCTCTGTGGTGCTCAGAAGCAGGATCTACTCAAAGGCCCTCAGGTCTGCCATGGGCGTATCCACTATTGCTATTTGTATTTCCACTCCACAGCATAAAAATTTTTGCTAATAAAGAATCTGTCATAATTTGGGTAAAGCCAGCCTGAAATTTCTTTATACTGTGCAAATGAATGAACAAGATGTCAGGGGGCTATTTAACCAGGGATTATTTGCACATATTTCAAGAACTATAATTGATATTATTTATGACACTGATTTTACTTATATCCCTCTATGTCTTACTGTATGTTCCCCTATACATTTTTAGTATAGCTGCATGTAACAAAACATTTAAAAGCCATTGATCCCAGTTAAAATTTTTCTACATCCAATTTTCATTGACTTAGACTGGCTGTCCTCATTCTAACTAGGGGCCGAAGGACATTCCATGCAGAGGGAACAACATGAGGAAGGCAGCATGGCAGGCTTGGGCAAAAAGGCAGGTACAGGGGACTGAGACAAGGAAGCGGGTGCATGGAGAGGAATTTACAGTCTGCCAGAGCCAGCTGGCTAGAGGGACCGCTGAGGGGCAGTACTCACTGTGAAGACCTTCTCAGGCTGCCCCCGGGCTCTCATGTTTGTGTCGTGAATTAACTTCAAAATCATCCAAGCTTCATCATGTTTTCCAACCTAAGAAATGAGAGTAGATGGAGATGTGCTATGAGGGGAAATACTTCCACTCCCAGTTTTCCAGTTGCCCTCTGGTAGTGCCAGATCAACTAGGTTATTGGCATGCAAAGGGTTTACTTAGGTGGTTCCTTGGAATGCAAAGACTATTTGGATATTTCTTGAGCACATTAACAGTTCACTGGCAATGCTTGTGTCAAGAAATAGCACCTCTGCATAGTTGAATGTCATTTACAAAACAATAAGCCACCTTCTCTTCATGGAGTGAAAAGTTACTTGCATGAGGAAGAACATTAGTGCTTTCTGGCCATGAGGCAGATCTGCCACATGCCGGTGGTTTCATGCCCATCTCTGGGACACTAAACCCTCCAGAGTCCTATTGGAGGGAGGAAGGATATTTCTCCCTTAAGAGGCAAGCAAACTTCCCTAGACTCAGTAAAGAACTCTTTCCAGTATATGTGGCTGCTTTGAGGGCTTTCATAACAAGTGTTACCTCCAGTAAGAAACGTGGGCTTTCGGGCATGAACGTGAGGGCCACCACGGAGGAGACGCAGGGGAGGGCACAGACGATCACGAACACCCGCCAACTGTGGAACTGGTAGGCCGACCCCATGCTGAAGCTCCACCCTGGAAAAGGAGCAGCAAGAGTGAGGGAGATGCCTCTCAGGCTGCCTGCTGGGAAGGGATCTCCTTCTACAGTCACTGTGGGTGTCTGTGCCATTAATGAGTCAAATTGAATTGATCTGGGCCTTGACCAGCTAGATTTTAAGGACAAAGTAGTCCAAGGGCAGTGAGTAATGAGGGATGAGCCAAGTCAGCAGCAGTAAGGGTGGAAAGTGGGGGAAGAAGGAGCTTGGAGCCAAAGGGGTCAGGACCTAGGTGTGGAGGGCAAGTGTGTTTATTTGCAATCAAATTCCAAAGGTGGAGAAAAATTAATTTGATGTGATGCCTTTGTCAATAGATCCTGTGCTGTGTATCTTCTCTTTGCTCCTTGAGATCACTCCGCTCTCTCCTCCCCTCCGCTGGGTGCCAGGAGATGAACCTCTATGGATTCATCGGCTGCATTCTCGCCACTGGCTGGGTTTCTGCTCAGCCAGAAAACTGAGGTTGAGAGCAGTGTTCAGGCTATTCATTTTCCATACGTCCCTTCTCCCTTGCTGGGTGGTGGTTTGACAGTGGGTTTTCTCATATTCCAGCATCTTCTCTCAGGGCCACAACTCTTGCTATTTTCTCTCAACTCCTCCTTCTGTACTTTTAGGACATCGGTGGGTACAAGATGCCTTCCTGCTACTGGCTGTGAAGTGTTTTATTACTCCCCAATGGAATATTCACACATGACTCTTTTTAATGACCCCTTTGCAGGGTGTTATTACTTTCCCACCAGCACCCTGACCTGTACAATTAATAAGAACTGGAAACTGCAATCGCTCTCCAAATATATGTCATACAATACATCACATTTTAAATTTATAAACAGTATTTTATAGCATACTGAAAACAAACACAAGGGGACACAAACAAATCCCTTTTAGAATGAAAAGAAAGCTAACATTCGAATGAACACAGAATGGTTGAAAAGATTTGAATGAACACAGAATAGTTTGAAAATGTTCAAACATGATTCTGAGAAACAATGAGGCATATCAGACTTAACTGAAAACAGGAAATTTAGAAGAAGAATTACATGAGGCAAAATTTTAATTTTTGGTAATGTTTTGGTAATTGTGATGCTTTTTGTTAAAAAAAAGAATAAAGGAATCTATACCCTATATTCACATATAAACAATAAAATTATTCACTGTTTGCAAAAGAACTGAGGGAGAGTTTGGAGGTGACATAACTTCCTGAAGTCACATCTCAGAATCTTCTCCACTGGGATTTAAGGTAAAATCTTATTCCACAAATGTCTGTGCATAACTTCAATACAGAACTTGATGACAAATGATGCGTAAATATCAATAACATGCTATTTCAATCTTAAGTTAATAAATATTTTTTGAAAGGTTACTACATAAAGGTTGTGTGAACTGTTAATTGCTGTTAACTGTAACTTAGACTTCTGGAAGGGGTATCTACTCAAATTGTATTATTTTATCAGTCATCTATAAAACTAAGTCATTTTGTAGACACTCAATAGGCAGAATCAATTCAATGGGTAGGTTCAAGGCATCAGTTTTCTTCGCTGATTCTTCTCTCAAATATTGATAGATGCATCACAAATCTCATTTATCAGTCTTCTCTAACTACAGGAGCTGTTGTAGATGGACTCACACTTCCATGACTTTAAATACATTTTACATGCTATTGCCTGTGAAATACAGCCATTTCCTTCCCAGAGCTCCAGAAACCCAGTCTGCCTGCCCACTGCCATCTTTCACAGAGAAGCCTAAACTACTGTGCCCCAAATGGAGCTTGTTTCTTCCTCAACCTTCCCTATTTTGGCAAATGATATACTGCTAGTCACCTAGATAGTCACTCCCCAAACCAAATGCTGCCCTTGATTCCTCTGTTCCCTTCACTACCCTCAATGTCTAGTCTAGAGCTCAAATTGAGCTCAAAGCCTCCTGCTCTCTCCTCTCCACTGCTCCACTATGCTGCTCCCTGACCTTACCCTGACCTCCAGCGGCTGCCTCCTCCAGATTGCCCGCCCGTCTCCAGATGTTCCACATTCCACACTCCAGATGTTCCCACAGCAGCCACATGTACCATTTAAAAATGTCAATCAGACCACTTTGCTGCGCTACATGAACACCTCTGAAAGACCCCCACCACACTCTGGATGAACCTGCCCCTCGCTCACTTGGTCCCGGCCCCTGTGACTCACACCATGCATTTGCTTCCAGTTCTTTGACTTCAAGCACCCTAATTCCATCCTAGGGAACTGGCCTTATTTCCTTGGAAGCCTACCGATGCATCTGAAAAGATGTTTGCTGTATTTTAGCCAGCCTCTCTGAGTGTTGAAATGAAAGGGCGCTGCAGTATGTAGCAAGGTATTTTACCTCAGTGTCATTTGCTATATCCCTTCCTGCAGTGCTCGGCCTCAATGGTTGAATGCACACTGCCTCCTTCACCCCTTTTAGCTGCAGGTTTAAAGTTATCTCCTCAAAGAGACCCAGCAGTGAGCCCCACTGTCACAAGGCCTGCTTCATTGTCTCCACAGCTTTATGACTCTCCAAAGTGGTGCCATTCATGATTTGCTTACTTGTTTGCTATCTCCCTGTCTCCCACTAGAGGGGCAGGAACTCTGCTTTTGTGACTCATCCATATAACCCAGTGCTGCAGCGAGTCCTAGTCCCTGGACAATGCTCTTGTACCGCTTGGGAAAGAAGCGCAGTGATTGCATGGCAAGTGCAGAATCACTGAGCATTACCAAGATACTATATACCAGGCTATCTTTTGTCATCTTTGGGTCTTGATTCGACCAATCAGCAAAACAACCTTAATTCACTTTTCAAATTAAAACTTTCATTTATATATAGTAAAGTTTATTAGCTTTTCAATTATGTAGTTCTACAAATTTAACAAATGTAGGGCCCTCCCTGGTGGCACAGCAGGTTAAAGCACAGCACTAAGAAGTTAAAGCCACTTCAGCATGAGTTCGATCCCTACCCTGGAGGTGATCCACATGGCGTGGCAGACCTTTCCTAACCCACTCGCTGCTCCCCTCAGCAGTGTACTTCTTCGATGTGCCTGTTCTGCTCCCCGCTGTCTCTGGTGAATCTCTGACTGCGCCTGCATCTCTGACCTGTACCCCAGTTCTGTATGAATGAATAAATCAATCTTTAAATTTTTTTTGACAAATAGAGTGTCACATACCCACAAAAATAATGAGGACACAGGACATTTCCACCATCCTAAAAGATTTTCTTGCTGTCCCTTTGGAGACAGGGCTAAATGCCTTCCTCTAGCCCTTACCTTCAAAAACCACTGATGTGCCCTCTGTCCTGCTAGCTTAGCCTCTTGCAGAATGTCATGTAAGTGAAATCATACTGTACAGAGCTTCTTTAATCTGTCTTTTTATATTTAGCATAATGCATGTGGATCTAGCAAGCTTCCCCTTTTCATTGCTGACTAATATTCCATGGTGTGGTTATAGCACAATTTGTTTACTGACCCACTAACTGAAGGAAGTTTCTAGTTTGGGACCTCCACTACAAACATCAGGAAGCAGAGAGACATCAACATGCAGTGAAGGATAGAAATTTAAAACCAAGCCACATATAACTAGAAAAGCAGGTGGTTGCTCTGCGACATTAACATGCACTTAGTAAAATAGATTTTCTTAAAGAGTTCTGATGTTGGCACCATGTCTGTCTTTAAAAAAAAAAAGATTCTTGGGAGAGTAATGGTTCCAACTGTCCTTTGGACTTTGTTAAAAACGCCTATTAAAATGTCATACTGAGGGATTTATCTATACATAATGTAAATTCCACGCAAGTAAGAACCTCAATTAGAGTGTTATCGAAGGCAGTTGCTGCACTGTGCTAATCAGCGTGGCACTAATAAGAGTTTTATGTGCCTTGCATGATAATCAAGGCCATTCACCAGCCTTCAGTTGATGTTCTCTGTGATCACAGAAACCAGCTGTACCCCCCAGTTCCCTGCCTAGTGTCAAGGCAGAAATAAATGACACATACAGAATGATGGTTTTCATATTCTTTCTGGGCTGTCCTCTGCTGCTCAGGTGATTTGGCACCTACAGAAGATGGCTGTCACTTGCATGATGCTATCAAGGGCAGATTCTTGGTAAGAAAATAGATTTTCAGTGCAAGAGACAGGCCCAATTTTATAAAACGTTAATATTAGGGGATATTAATAAAAAGGATATGAGACCAATTTTTAATAGCCAAGAAGCAAATCACCTGTATTTATTTGCCTGTGGTCTTCACTCACAGGCACCTGGCCAAGTAAAATTCTCTTTGAAAGTGGCTCAAAATTCATTTTCTCAAGTGGTCTAACTTAGGAAAGAAACAATGATCAGATTTTCTTCTTTACAGAAATAAAGTTTTACCTTCTCAACATGTCACTACACTACAATCAGTAGGAAACAGTGAACCTTGGCTAGCAATACATGTCATCACACACCCAGTTTCACCTATGACTCCACAGACGTACCCAGATGCAGCTAGACAGTTCCTGCTGCTATCAGCAAAGCTTTTCACCTCCTTTTTATTTATCAAAAAAGGAAAAATGGGCCCTCCCTGGTGGCGCAATGGGTTAAAGCGCAGCACCGCAAGTGCAGCTGCTTCCGTGCAAGTTTGATCCCGGGCCCTGGAGGTGACCCACATGGTGCAGCAGACCTCTCCTCTCTGCCTGTTGCTCTCCTCAACAGTGTAACTTCATCAGTCGGCCTGTTCTGCTCCCCACTCTATCTCTGGTGAACCCCTCTTACCACCCCTGCATCTCTGGCCTGTACCCCAGTTCTGTATGCATAAATAATCTTTTTTTTTTTAAAAGGGGAAAATGATAGGGATAAGGTATAGATAACTGATCTGTGGTACAGCCATATAATGGACCATCCAATATTTTCTAGAAAAGAATAAGGTAGATCTTTGTGAGCCTACATGTAAACTGTATGAGTTACATTGCTCGGTGAAGAAAGATCTTTTCAAAACACTGTGAATAGT